CCGCCAAAGGACCCTTCTCTTTCAGCCACTTGAAAACAGTCTTCAAGGAATCAACCAAACTCACTGCAGTGAAGCAAGATCTCGAGAACTAGCGAATTCAGTTGGCAAACTCTGAAAGAGAAAATGTGCAATGGAGGGCGAGGTTCGTTGGCGAGATTATCTCCCACAATTACACTACCCCAACACTGTGAGAGACGAACCATCCACTCGGATCACAAATCTTCAATTCTTACATCTGGGTGGAAATACTCATATATGTCACAAATGAAAGTAGCACGCGACTTTACAGATGGTTGGTTTTGGGTGCCCGGTCATATCACGTAGAGGTATGACATCATCTAAGTCCCAACACAATTGTCGTTTCTGATAAGCACTTCTCACTAGTTATCCGTGAGAATTACCCATACTTTTGAGGCCATAAATGGTTCGGTACCTCCAGCAAATGTACAGATCAGACAGCAAGACGATGTTTAAAAACTTTAAAGGTAAATTATTCTTTCTACGCTACGAACTCCCATGATACGTAGAACCATTTCGAATAGAATGCTCACTTCCAAAAGTCTGCTGGTTCTAGTAACAGACTAATACAAACTAAAAGGTCCATTTAAAATTGTGTTGAACCACAATGCACCAGCGTCAGGGCTGCCATCCAGGGAACGCATTATGAGTGAAAGTGTTGAGAACCTAGATACCGTCGACAATCGAATTAATTTCGAACACAAAAAGATGGCCAGTCGCATGCAAGCGCAGCCGTTCATCCGGTGGAACCAAATTTGGATGTGACGGAGGCTAATCTGCATACCAAGATGTTTGTATCGTTCACGAACAGAAATGGTCAAATTTCTCCTTGCACCCCCTATTCGAGCTACTTACAAGCAACGCCTCGTCGCGGGACGTCTTCCTAGCATCATATAATAATATAAAAACATTTTAGTTGATAGTTTCAATAGATGCTTTCAATGCCAGAGCTTCACAGCAGTACAGTTTTTAATATGTGATGCAAGTAGGCACGTGAGAACTTCTCATTTACTATTCACCTGTGTGTACTGCACGTGAAGAGCATAGAAAATTTGTACTTCCATTGGCTTACCGTGAGCAGCTGATGAGTGACGTGATCTGCGTTGTAATGGCACTGCGTGAGACTGAGTATATCTTTATTGACAAATACACTGACCAATCAAAATTAGTATGTTAACTGTGTGAAAAGCTAGGAGAAACCTCAGTACTACGAAAATTCAAACAGTAGACATGACCCATCCGTAAAATGTTTGTTGAAGCAGGAAGTGACATTTTCTCTGGTACTCTCACCCTCTGGATGTTGCATACCACCTCAGCACGACGGTACTGCAGCATTCCACTTGCGTAAGCGATTTGACGGAAACCATCCAGATAAACAAAAGTCACCTTAGAGAACGACCAAAAATAAGGTGTCCCACCAAGAGGTATGTGCTTAGGTGACTTCTTATTAATGCGTGAACTCCAATTCTTATTAGGCGTTTATTAGTGACGTATCGGTTACAGATGCTCCAGTTTCTTTCAGAAATGGTGGAGGGAACTGGGAGGAAGTAGCTATATACTGTAGTTGATGAGAATTAACAGTGTCGGTGAAGGGCATCGCTTTGAAGTGGAGTGGGCTGACCTCTCTGTTTGAGTTCGGAGGTCACTCTGTTATCAAAATGCCAGTGTCTGTGTGCGTAGGCCATATCGGTCATTAACTACAAGCATTGCATTGTCTCGGTCTGAAATCTTCATCCAGAGATAGAACAACCACTCAAGCAGCTGTGTGTGTCTGTCTTGAGTTTCGTTTGCCAGGAACTCACAATTCGACAACTTTGGGTCTGTTCCTAATTCAAAGTTGACCGAAATGGTGGGTTTTACGAGGCCTTCTATTCTTCGGAGTGTTGAGTACTTGGACGTTCCTTTAAAGTTTCTTGTTCTTCTCTACCCAAAAAAAAGTCATCACTACCAGTTCAGGCCCAAAACGATTCGTGGACACTAACGGAAAAGCTCCGCATTCGATCCCCTCATGATTTTCAGATCTTGACCAGTACAGGAGTAACGAGTGAAGATCCGATTACGTCCTTAACAGACAGGATGATGCCACATTAGCATCGGAGCTCACGGAAGATGGTAACTATCCACATGGTCTTCACTATTTGGGACTTGAACAGGAGTCCAAAAAATATTCATTTCAAACGCGTCGATTAGTGCATCTGCAAGCGGTGCGTGCGAGTCTAACTTCAAATCATCTTGGAGTGGAAGTGATGCACGCCGAATTTGTCAGGCAATGCCTTCGTATATCTCAAGGGCCCTGCTTTAGCAGAACTACACTGCCAGCATTCTGAAAGCCAGTGAAAAATCCACTTCGTGTGAAAAGTTTTGTCATCCGATTTGGTACGAAGGTTAGTCAAGCTGCGGTTGATTACACTACCGTCACTCGCATCCCACGTAAGCGTCTTGTTTTCAGTAAGAACTTGAGGAATCACCATCAACATATCCACAACAACCTCACACGCTTCCTGTAAAGATGAAATCAGAAAAAAATATACTAGAATACCTTTATTCAAAGAACCGGACTCCCAAGTATGGAACACACCATTAGAACTGATTGTCTGCCAACACCAACAGCCAATTGTCGTTCCTGCTTAACTCATTGGCTTAAGATGGTACTCTTCTTGTTCGGACAGCTGTACGGATGCCATGGGTCAACGGACGATCAACGTGTATGTGGGTTAGTGGGTTTAGAGGGACAAAGTAACCAATTTGTGGCGTCAAGATCCGGCTGTCATGAGTCCTAATGAAACTAACCCAATCTAATAAGGAGAGTCCCATCTGCCAGAGAGAAACAGATGTCTCACTCAACTTCCGGAGCAGGCGCTGGAAAGCTCGCAAGTTAGATTGACCAGATGCCACTGTTAGCTACCGGGAGAAAATAAGTCATCTTGTCATAATCTGTAGGCTGACTGCGTTCGCCTGCCATTTCGCAGGACTACGTGACGAACCGGTGTGGCATTCCTTGACTTCTTTAGCAAGTAACGTACCTGGAGCGGATATAATTAACCGGAAATTGCTCACTGGTGTCAGAGTAGGATATGAACCGCCTTAACGCTTCAACTTCCCCAACGGTCGACTCACGTGGACGCCATCGTATATGCATACGTACTTGGTGACTATGTCGGATTGGTAACGTGCACACACCAGGGCATGCAAGCAAACATATATCATGCCAAAACCGTCATAGCCCACTTACACCCAACAGACTACCACACACCCACAAAGACAAAAGAGGATAAAACACGACCAGAATGGAAAACCATAAACTACATTGACATTGACAGCGCAGTGAAGGGCTTGGAGCCAAACCGAAGGACAACCGGATGGTTTTGTCAGGCACCGGATTTATTGGCCAGTCCATCACGCCAAGCCTATGTGACCACCATTCCACTCACTACTATCACATCCGTCTTTGTACACACGAAACGCACTGGGTGGGGACTGTTTGTGGGGCGGCCGTGAACAACCACCGATACAAATGCAATCCAATCAAGAAAAGGGTCAAGGAAAGGGTGTGTGCGTACTTGACAAATAAAAACATTGCCAGATATGTCCTAAGTGATCATTAGGGGCAACTATTCCATGTTAGAATAGTGCGCTGAGTGGCAACCGGTATTTGTTGTCCTAGAACTGTAAAGGTTCACATTGACACACTACTCATAAACAAACTGATCATGTTCTATGGGATTGTGAAAGAGAAAAGTGGTGTGACAGCCGATCTTACCTATATACGGGTATTTTTTTCATTTGACATATTATATATTGTCCGATTCCACCGAATTGTTTTAGCAGCTTTACAGTAAAAATTGTGCAGTTGACAAGTAGAAAGGCTAACAAACCACTGTCCAAATTCTATTCATGAATTCCCTTTCAAACAGTTCTCGTAGGTGTGGAGATTTCTGTAAACCAACCAGGAGGTTGACCGCTGATTTCGACATATCAGTGGGACACAACAATAGTAAAAGGAAGTCTTCCCACTGCCCATAAACAATAAATAATCTCGTAATACACTACTTATAAGGTTGCTGAAAATGCTTCCACAACCCACGACCGGTTTCGCCCTTGTTGGGGCTCATCAGGTAGGCGCAGTCCCCAAGTTTCCGTCAACCTAATGTTCCATTTGAACCCCAATCGTACATCATAAACAAGAGATTCAGCCGGGTCCGCTAATAAGTAATCTCGCCGGAGAGGAAAGTATTATACAAGTCGGATGAAACTTCACCTGAAAATCCTCACTCGATGAGAACCGAAGCCAGATCATGTAGCATGAACTCTGTGTGTGTGCGTGTGTGTGTGTGTGTGTGTGTGTGTGTGTGTGTGTGTGTGTGTGTGTGTGTGTGTGTGTGTGTGTGTGTGTGTGTGCGTGAAAGTCAGCGGTGCCACATCCCGTTTACAAGTATGAGTTAATCACACAGTCACACGTGGCCACACGATAGCGTTCGACAAGTAGTCGGAACACCAGCAGTGGAATTTCCAGATATGCACACCACTAATGAGTCTCAGCAAGAATCGAATAGCTGAACCGTTCTACGGCCTTCCAGCATACACTGAGTTCACCTTCAGGACGAAACCTTGATTCAAAACGACTTCGAGGTAACCAAAGGAGTGATAGAAGGATAGGATGAAATGAACTCATGAATATTTGACTGAAATCACGTATGGTTATTCATATGCGGAGACCTGACATTACACGCGTTCAGTTTGCATAAGCTGGAGTAAAATTCTGTGCGCAGTATGAGTTGCGCCAGTTGGAGTTCCCAAAGAAACAAGACTAATTACATACGTGTATGTTATTTAGCCAGAATACCCATTGCATGAAATAGCGGCAAGTGAATTTGAAGGGGCGGAAGCTGGAAATTGTATTCGGCCACAACCTCTTCCAAAGTATGTCTCCCCCCATCCCAGAAAGTTGACAAGAAGCAATATCCAACGCCTTCTTTCTTTAGCCAAGTCCACAACACAAGATTGTCGGATCCTCTGAACTCAAACCTAACGTTACAGAGAGGGAAGATTTGAAGGAAACACTTAACGCCCCATTCACGTTGAGATGCAGATTTGACACTGCCCACGTTCGTACAAAGCAATGCTCTTCAACTTGAGAATTGCACCATGAAGGAGTCGGCTGAGATCAAGGGGTAATGGGAGGGGGCAACCCTGGAGAGGGTACTACACATCCAAGGCTTGATTAGCACTGACATCTGGCCCAACACACCAAATAAAGAATATGTAGGCATATGCAACGATTTTCTCGAACTGGACAGCTGACCGAGTGTTGTCTGCCGAATCTACTCAGACGCATCCTACTTGTCCATCTGTTGGAACTAGTCCAACTGGTTTTATGATGGGAAAAATTATACTTCGGAATACTTGGCTCGGAAGCGCACTGACAAGCTGAGAAGAGGTAGTAGAGTGAAGAGAAAAAGCTTTTTTGCCGCTAAATCATCCCCATATCTTCTGATTTCTATCCACCGAACCAAGATTTACCGAAACAGAAGGTAAACGAGTGAACATCATTTTCAGTTGGCAGGTACCATTGTGATAACTTAAGAACTGGTCGACCTTTTATATGTTGCGTCACACATCCTTCCAAACGTCGACGTCCCCCAAACAAATTTGCTATCTGAAGGAAGTAAATAACACATTTATTATGTGAGCAACCCCGAACGTATTTCAAGCAACCGTACTGTTTCTGTTGATCGTCAACAGCCAACAAACGTGCTTACCAATTAGAGCCGGTACAAGTTCCAGTCATCCGAAACGTATTTTATCAAAGTGACATGTGGACAGGCCCAAACTGTTCGCTGTCACAGTTGCAATGTAAACGCAATTCGAGTTAAAAACTGACAGATAGAAGGAATGGAAAATCGATCGAGTTAACTTGCCTTATTCTGATAAATCCTCCCATACGAATCGCTTGCGCTGTCACAAAGACCTATGCCGGAACGGTGAACTCGGTGACCCTAGTCTTTCGCGGGTTGAGAGAGGAACACCATTGGCACTTTGTACCCATAGCATTGATTCATCAATGCCCCATCGTACACCTTATGTATGGGAAGACAAAGTCTGTAACCTGAAGCACTGAATCATACCCATCCGTAGTGCCGCACTGTACGTACGCAGCACGAAATTCGACAGGTCAGATATGTGTTTCGCATCTGTACAGCCAACTTCCTGTACATGAATTCAATCTACGTCGAAAGGCAGAGAAACATTACGTGGTCATTCAATCCCCTTTGGGAATTTTCATCATCTCCAGGACGATTCGGATCTTCGACCTCGCGGCTAGTGACTGAAGACTAAACCAGTCTTCTGGGAGCGGCTAGCCACCAATATAACTAACTCGTATTTCGACGAGATCACACTGATATCTCTTGTCTTAGTAAGCATGAAATAATTCGGTGCAAAAATCACAGGATCCGCCTCACAGAAACTATACAAGACAGCCTTTTTAACTGCGTATCTGAACGTTTTCAACTATCACCTATTCAGTTCACCGTACCGCTCGGACCCTGAACGCATGCATGAAGGAAAAGTGGCGTAGAACACCAATGAAATACGAGGTTGGACTCAAAAGATAGCGTAATAATGGGTCGGTTTCGACCGTCTTTGTCATTACCCAACAGAATCATCCAAGAGAGGGACAAACAGGTGAAAGAATCAGTGATGGATGCAGACAAGCTCTATTGTCTAGTTGGTATAGTTTCGCATGTGTGTGTGTGCCCGCGTCTGTGCACTGAACGCATGCATGAAGGAAAAGTGGCGTAGAACACCAATGAAATACGAGGTTGGACTCAAAAGATAGCGTAATAATGGGTCGGTTTCGACCGTCTTTGTCATTACCCAACAGAATCATCCAAGAGAGGGACAAACAGGTGAAAGAATCAGTGATGGATGCAGACAAGCTCTATTGTCTAGTTGGTATAGTTTCGCATGTGTGTGTGTGCCCGCGCGCGTCTGTGCATAGACACCTGACTCCCAGTTCGTATAACAAAGCCAGCTATGTCACATGTTCAAGCCGCTATGCTCAATAGTTAGGTGCACGTCTGACGCGTGAAGTTTGCCCTCCAGGCAACAAGGAACGGACGGACCACATAGGCAGAGAGGACATTGTGTTCGGTGTGAGTTCATAATCAAAAATATCCTCCAATCTGGTTAGGGACAGAGTCTGTGCAACAGTGGGCTAGGCGGACCGGAAGAACTATTCGTCATTATCGTCATCGTCGACATGTTCACCTCTGCCAGGGTGGTGGAACGAGTGGGATGATACGCAGGGCTGTGTTGGATGACGAACATGAGCTGCTGTGTATGGGTAACCTCATCCCTGCTGACTCATACTAAGACACACACAGACATCCGTCATTCATTCGATTGGGTAATCAATTTTTGCAGACTAATTGAAAATGACAGAATTGACTCACACACACACACACATACACACACACGGACTTTGGATGCAAGAATTGGAAAGAGCATGTAAAAATGGAATGGAGCGAGAGCTGTATGACCTACTTGGGAGAACTTTGTTCAAGGCAGCAGTGGTCAAACCAGCTAGGTTCGAAACAATGACAACGACAAGGAAGCTGTTGCAAATGGCCGAGTTGAACGTTCTCGATTGGTTGATCCTAGAGCGTCCCAAAATGCCCGTATTGGTCCGTTCATCTAGCATTGTGTTGCCGTTGACGTGGATGCGTGACTGAACCGACAGAACGTGAATGCTAAAATGCAGAAAGCCGTTGAATGAATCGATACGGAGATCATGCACCTTGTCCTATTTCGTGAATAGTGAGAAACTATACGGTCTTCAATTGACACTCGAAGTGACTGTTGTCCGATTAATTTCAACATCAATAAAAACTAACATACTGTGCTGAAATAGAATGTGATTTTGTGTAAAAAAAAAACCAAAAAAAACTACGAATGAAAGCCAAACATCCGACCAAGAGTCGAAGCCCCAAGCCCTCACGAGTCTGAACAAGTTTTCTAGTTGAGTTGATTCAGGTCTCACATTGCATTCGCTTTCCCGAGAAAACAGTTCCCATGATACATAACACATTCCGAACTAGAGAAAGAAAGCATTCAGCTGTAGCACCCTTCCGTGCCTAGCTGGCCATGCAACCCGAAGGAAGTACGAGGGCTGGGATACTGCCAGGTTGCCCAAGCCTAGACAGGGGAAGTCGAGTGGCGGAGGTCAGATTCGAACCACGGACCTTCCTCAGTAAATTCGCGCTCTAACCACTTGGGCCGTCTCGCCCCCTATTCCGAACTGCAGACATGAGCGTACTCAGATGGCATTAGTTCGCAACGGTAGAGTCGTTTACTTAAGAAGAGCACACTAAAAAAGGGTTTCTCAAACACCTGCATACACGCACTCCTCAACGTTTCAGGTTGATCCCCGCAGAGATGGAGAATGCAGGTAGGTTAAACTCCAAACCCGGTTGACAGTGGAATGTCAAAAAAGCATTAAAGCTGTTCAGACAGTCGGTTATGGGTTAGTGGTGTTTCAAATGTAACACCATGCACGACCAGGGATATACACGCCTGCATAAGCACCGGTTACAGCTGACCAGGTGTTTGGTGTTTGGGCTATGCATATGTTAATTCCAGAAAGCCAGGGTTGGTTTTGTGCAAACACATACAGCCATGTTTATTCATGCAGAATGCGTGTAACGACAGCAAAATCAATCGACCAATTAATGAGTCTTATTTGGATTCCGGCTCTGGACGAAAGCTTGGAGGGTAAAAATGCCAAGGAACCATAAAACCGCTGAATATGGGACATTTAGAAAGGACGTTTTTGAATTATTCAAGTGTCTACTGTTGAAATTCTCATAAAAAATAGGGACACATGGCTCAACCAGACAACCGATGATAAAATGTAGTCCCAAGTAGGTAAAAAAAGCCTCTGAAAGGAACAATGAGTTGCCAGGTAATGGACCTTCCACTCAATATATTCCCGTCGTTCATTCTGACTCGTGGACCTATGGATGAATGAGTTCAAGTTGCAGAAACGATGGTGCAGTGCTGTATTTTGACAAAACTTGTGAAGAAGGATCAGGGAATGAATACTAAGCACACCTCAAACCGACTCAAAATACCTCAGGCCTGTGTTGTCGAGTAGTCACATAAAGGCCCCTTATCAGATGAACCGAAACGCGACATACCGGTTTTCATTTGTGTCCATGAGCAAAAACGAAGATGTCAACTCTCGTCTTTGATTTTCTCTTTAACTTGGTCTTTGTTATCGGAAACATATGTGACCACTACCCATAGCTACACGGTGTCCTACGGAATGTTGCAGAGTTACCTACTGGGGTACCAGCAATGAGGTAAAACCAACCGACAGGCAACCGATCAGAAGTACTCACCACTAACCTTACCTGGAACAGTCACCAGGTAGGTGGACGACTGAGAGAAACGCAGCCCTAAATGTGATATATCCTCCCAAGCTATTCGGATAAAAACAAGTGACTTGTCAATAGAGGGATAACGTAAAGCACCTGTGCGTAATTCCAAGGCTAAAGGGCTACTTAGGGAAATGAGATCACATTAGATAGGATACAAATATGGTCACATCAACTGGGAATAGACATTACAAAAAACTATATTCCAACGAGAGTAAAAATTTCTGAAGGAAAGGGCAGCGAAGTTAAGAAGTTAAATGGGATCCATCAATTTCATAAACATCATTTGTTCGCTCGTAATCTTTATATCCTGCTGAAATATCTACGATCAGCTTCGCGTGATTGATGAATTATCCACGGATAAAAAACTCGATGGAACAAACGACTGAGCATCTGAACCATTGGTGTGTACAACGTGGGCAGAAAAGCTTAACTTTTTAAATGAGGGAGTTACCAACAGAGCTCCACTATCATTAAGTGTACCTACCAAGTTTTTTTGAAAGAATAAGGCAATACGGCATGGACTACTCAAATATGAAAGGTTTACAAGTCCTCGAAAAACAGACATTTTTATCCGAGTTCTCAAAAGAAATCAAGTCTTTTATTCCCCTGTATTTTTCCAAATCAAATGGTTTGAATAAAAGCATATTGAGGAATTTCGGGTACTCGGAGCTAAATTTACCAACATGAAGAGAGGATGCGTCAAGTAGTTAGGGACATTTTGATCCTCCAGATGGATATGCCCTGGTACAGAGTTTCAGCCTATATTCTGTGTACACTTTGTGTGTAAGTCACCTTTTCCTTTGTCCAAACTTCCATTTGGTCAGATTGCGTTTCCATTCAACTAAGTTGAGCTGTACGCTTCCTGCTGGCTCCAAATAGAGTGAGAGAGCCTTAACAAGGCCACAACAAAGTGGAGGATTAGTCACTAGACTGTAATACATCTCTTGACAGAACATTCATTTAAACTAGCTTTTTGTAATCTTAAGCAGATGCTCAGTTGAACACGCTTTTCCGTGTGTACGTCTGAAGCTAACCGGCAACTTCATGCCACTCTTCCTTACCACTATGCAAACCCTTTGGATTGTTTGGGGTTAAACTGATGACAAATAGGAAATATTTCGTCTCACTTAACCAACCAGATAGTAACCTCAGAAGAAGACAAGCGATACAGGAAAGCACCACTTCGGACGCTGTCTTAGCATTATTACGCGTCATAAACTGACCAGGCAAATAACGCGTTACGAGCGACGACGCTCCTGACTGGTACCGTCCATATGAACCGTCTGCCTGTAACATTATCATTCACCTCAAGAGCGGTTCTCGCAGACTAGATGCCTGAGGGAGCAGTACCCCCCCCCCATACAGGGAAACGTTCGAATAATGCAGGAACAATTCCTTGGACGTCTTCCCCGGACCCTGTACGCGCCCAAGGTAAACTCAGATAGAACCACGTATCTTGACCATATTTTAGCGATGTGCCCAAAGTCCCAGTCCGTCTAGAGTGCATAGATTAGATGTGTCAAACACCACGTATCACTGTCGTCCTAAGTACCCACTGACAGGAAAACAGCTCGTGTCACCTGTATCACCATATATGAGCAACCGTTCCAACCACAATTGCTTCGAAAGGTCAAAAAGTTCGAGCAAATACTAGTGTACGAAATTAGTGCACCCTGATTACAAATGACACCAAAGTATCGAAATACTGCTGGGAATTTTCGTTCATTGATTTGTTTCTCAGTTTCCGTCGTATTTTCACGAACGGAGCAGCACACAATCTAAAGAATCTGGAAGTTGAATTTATGGGAAACCGGTCTCTCGTGAAGTATTGCAAAGATTTAAGTGAAATAAACAAGTTCTCAATTGTGGAGGAAGCAAAATAATTGACAGTGGTATTCTCCGTTCTTCAAAATCATCCCGCATTAATTTTTAATCAAAGTAGAAGTGAGGATTTCACGGACGGAACAGCAAAACAAAACCTCCAAAGAGAAACCCCGTGTCTAGGAACAAAATTCTTTCATTGCAAGTCCCCCCCTTAGACTAAACGGCTTCTCGTTCAGGAAACGTTGTGTGCATCAACGATCTTGAGTTCCCAGTCGAATTTCACGCCAAACTGTTAGCCGCGTTGCAACTGCAATATCGAAGAACACCATGGGGTTTTTGGGGACTTGAATTGTTCGGATCTGCGGTTTAGAAAACGCAACCAGATACAGTGTGTTCAGATAGTATATTGGTTGGTGCTAGAAAGATACAACACAGGTAACTGGGTTACCGACAGTTGAGATTGTTTATGTTCATAAGTGTAACAAAGTTACCTGTTTTTGTGGTCTCTGAGTCTAAATCGTTGCTGTTCTCAACTTGGCGACTGAGATCAACGATGTACAGTTCCCGAAACACCTCTTATCAGATTCCGTATAAGCCGAAAAACCACTTGATTCCATTATGACATGTTCGGTCCTCCTAAACTGATGGTGACTTATTTAAAACGTCGATTATGTTGCTATAAATTCTTACCTTAATAGAGTTTGCAGCTGAGGACCATCACGTAAGCTCAATATGTTAAAACGCCAGTACGCGTGTACCTGAGTCATCGATAGACAAGAACAGTGCGAACCCATGACATCTAATTTTTGTTAGTATGCAAATTTTTACTACAATATCATCAACTGTTGTATGGGAACTCATAGCCCAGAAATTATTCACATTCACCTCAAAGCTTCCAACAGGAGATACTCCTGGTCGAGAAGACAGGTTCCGTGTGAATGCTCACTTACCTACAGTATATTCAAGTTTAAAAGTCTAACCGGCTGTAGCCACTAAGAATAACACAAAGTCGATTTTCCGGCTAATCGTGGTAGTTCACAGCTAGGTATGCCTCAAATGTTTTTACCGTGTTTTGTATAAATAATGTACTATTATTCTTGACTGGTAAAATATTTACAGTTTAAGAAGTAACACTAGGACTGGCCATCACAAGCATCTACGGAAGTTCTAATCATCCAGTGGATTACACCAAATGTATCCTCACACGTAACAAAGAGATGTTGTGGAATGGCATTTTGCTTCAAGACAAACGCCGGAAATAGGCGTTGCTCAAACCGACTTGTTGAGTAACACCCAGTCCGTTACCACGGGAGCACAACCGTCCCCAGTGCGTGAGAAGATCTCAAGTTTCTAGGACTACCGACCACTAGATAGAAAAACAACTCCCAAACGTAGCGTATCGTATGACGTTCTGTTTTGATTCACCGGCTGAGGCCACAAAACTACGTCACATTCAGGCATCTCAGTCAAAACCTTCCAACTCTGAA